TCTGTAGGAGTGTATTTTTATTAAGCAGAAATTCTGGAGAGCTATCGGATTGTTTTCTTATGGAGCCATCCATCATTTAATATATTGACACCTGTCCAAAGTGTATTTATTGCAGGACACATGTCAATACACCATTTGTGAATAACTATAGATGACTCCATAAGCCGAGCCATCCGATGGCTCCATAGCAAAACTGTTTTATTAGATTAGAGATTACATATGTAGTATGTTTACAAATAAGCCAACAAATAATAAAATGCATATAGGAAATGGACTTAATTAATTTCTTACTGTTCATGGAGGATATTAGCTTTTTGTTCTCAGTATCGACATCTTCCTCTATTGAATTGACGGTCGACCATAGTTGTCCTCGTAAAACTTGAAGCTTGTCCTTTGCTTCCCTATAGAGTAAAAAACACATGAATTAGTCCTATGTTAGCTAAGCTCAACTTGGATCACCCAAGACTTATGACCAACCTAACTATTTCGTCCACTGAACCAACACTCTTCTTCTCTAGACTAAGTAGGGACTCTTGAGCCTTGTTCCATTGTTGTGCCCCATCTTTTACTTGTTCCAAACTGCAAAACTTAGTTCATAGTTTAGCCAAAAAAAAAAAAAGCTAGGAAATATATAAAGTGGTATTATTAATTTTTAGGATTTGCTTACCATTTATGTAGGACAAGTTTAATATCTTCTTTCCCACTTTCAACTGAAGTTGCATCTTCAAGATAACGAGATTCGGCCCCTTTAGTGTAATCTATCCATTTTGCCTTAACTGATGAAGTGGTGCCTTGCATGATTGACATCTCTTGTTGTAGTTTCTTCGTTCTAATAGCCATACTTTCTCGAATTCTACCAATTTCACATTCAACCTAGGGAATGAGCAAAGATTAACATAAGAAGAACTTTAATGATAGTAATCAAAAGAACCGAGTGTCTAGATTTACTGTTTCATATTAAACCACGACAGAACAAATGATCGGTTTACTTTGATGTTATATATATTTATAAATTGGAAGGATTGATTAGAATCTATGAAAAATGATAAAGAATAATACTAACTGATATATGCTTCACGGAGGGGCATAATCAAAGAATATAATTAGTTGCTAGGAGCGAAGTTGTGTTAATTTATGCACCGTGCAATTATTTCCTACAAAGGTGTTCACGATCAACAATTTAGAACACTAATTGAAACCATAATTGAAAATTGTTGTTTCCATTGTCAACGAGTTTTCAGTAAAACAATTATATCATCTTTATATTGAAGAGTGGTAAACCAACTGTCTCTTGTAATTTTTTACCTTTCTTATATGTAATTATCCATAGAAGAAACATCTTGTAGCATCAGCTTTTCGATTCCAAGTAGAGAAATAATAGGGGCGCATGAAAAATTTTAGACTTAAAATTATCTAAAACAAGAGCCATTTGATAGCTTGGTAGATTAAACAATCATGTCACTTCATTTTGTTGTAAGTAGAATAGTATCTTAATCCCTTTTCCCTATAAACATCTTTAAATTGATTGGAAAAAACTATAAATGTCTAAACACACAGATACCATGTATAGCAAATTTGAAGTATATCATTTCCGATGCATAACTCGATTACATTATATCTTATGTATAAGTACGTACCAATTTCTTCTTTCTAGCATTTGAGTCTGCAACTAATTCAGCCAAAGTTGCCAGTAGTTTCCTTTCTTCAAGGGCAGTACACTCCTACATAGACATGAGATCACATCCACTTATGAAAATTTATTGCAAGCTCGTTCAAGACAACACACAAATGCATATGTTTGGCTTACCTCAAACTTCTTTTCAAGTTCAGACAACTTATATTCATTTGTTGTTTGTTCTTCTTTCATGATTTCATCCACCTTTGAAACATGCTCACTTAAATTCTTGAACAAGTCTATAGTAATTTGAGCAATTGATTGGGTGGATTCAATAGCTTTGGTATGAGCCTAGAATATTGAATAAAAATATCAGCAATGTTGCATTTTAGAGCCAAAACATCGTAATAAACTACTTACCGCACGTTGTTGTGCTGCATATGCAGTTAACTTGTTTTCCTGACAAATTAGATTTTCTTGAAGATCACGAAGCAAAATATCAGCCTCTAATGTGAGTCCCATAAAGAGCTGTTGCACAAATAATAAATCTCAACTAATGCTAAAATAATAATTCGAACTCAATAAATCCAAAAACAATATAAATGAACTAAGACCTCTTCCAAAGACGAGGAATGATGGGAAACTTCATGATCCAGATGACTGAATGCTGACTGGGAGGTAATATCAAGCTCTTTAGCTAAATCATCTAAGTCTCTAATTCCCGTACCGTACATGGTTTTCATATTTTCTAGACAAATTCGAAGCTCTTTAGTTGCCTAGAACAAGTAAACAAGGGCATATTGGTTTAACACAGAACTATAACATGTATAAGAAAACATGTCTCTAATTGACTTCACCTCTGTCTTTGTAGACACAAATAAATGCATGTCTTTTTCCATCTCTTTAAGTTGTTGTTCTTGTTGTGTGGTTGATGATGCTACAAATTTATGCAAGATGTCCATTTGTTGATCTAATTGGGATTGAAAACTTTGTAAAAGAGCTCTATTACCATCTTCGATTTTCTCCTTTCGATCTGTAGTATTGAGAATACTTGGGATTAAATAAAAAAAATAGAAAAAGAAAAAAGAAAGAAACTGGATACTTCACTAAAGAAAGTATTAGTGTGTTCATGAATAAGTATGCTGACCAATCTTGGTGAACAAGTTTGAAATATCTGAGGCAGCAGTCTCTAACTCTGCTCGGAGCTCAAGAGCTCGATCAGCAAGTGCTTTCTCTGGTGCAAAACGATAACATAAAAAACATAGATATAACTACATTAATTTAAAGAACACATATATATAGCTACATTCATTTGTTTTAGTTAATTGATGCAAGTTATAAATAGCATTATGAATAGAAATTACAAACATCAAATTACTTGGCACTGCAAAAAAGGTACATATACTTGAATTAACAACCAGAGTTCGTGTGATACAGACAATGATCAGTTATATTTTCTGAAATGAGACCAAAAAAGTTACACTTTTTAGTGCCAAGATTACTTTAGCAGAAAGTCGGCCAGGAATAACACATACCAGATTTTAGAAGATTGGATATCAAGTATTCCTTTTCTTTTATTGTTGCATTTGCCTTCCTACACCTTTCTTCGAGATCAAGCAATGAATCCTGAGTTTCCTGTAGCCTTTCCTGAATGACAGAAAAAAGTATGATTAGCGCATGACAACAAAATGACATGTATCATATGCTTAAGCTATATGAACAAAGATAGTACCTTTGTATTTTCAAGTTTAAGAGTTAGTTCAACATAAAGATGATGTTGAGAATTGTATAATTCCTGGACCTCTTGTAAATGCTGTCACCAAAGGACAAGTCAATGTGGGATCACATGGTTTCTGCATCTCAATAATAAAAAGAGATCCAGTAAAATTTTAATTTCTTCGTATGTTACCTTATCCCGGGATTCTAACTCGATATCTATGCGCTCTATCTTTTCGGTCATGGCCTGTAACGTCAAATGTATGTCATACTAGGATAAGGAGAAATTTCACTGAGCCTAATAAACAATTGCTTTATAGAAACACACTAAATGTCAACAAACCTTTTTCTCTATCTCTTCCTGGAGATATCGATCTCTTGGGATGTAGATCCCATTTTTCTCCCGTGCGGCAAATAACTCTAAGAAATACGAAGCAACAAAAGATTACAAAAAAATAGAAATTGATGGTATATACACGAAAGAAAAAGAAAATGTCCCATTTAATAACCTTGCTTTAGGCGATCAATTTCAAAATACAAATCTTTGATTACAGCTGATTTCATCATCTTCTGATTGATCTGTAATTAAAACAACAGACGATAAATTACGTCCATCTGTGGCCACAATGTACGTTTATAAAGCATATAAAACTATAGTATTCACATACTGTAAGACATCTAACCTCTGGTTTATTCTTTATGTTTTTGGCACGGTGAGCGTAATCTAAGGTGCTGAGTGTCTCTTCCAAACAATGGATGGAAGGTGATATTGTGGCAATTATACAAGTCTTTGTTTTCCCTCCAAGAGAATCTCTCAACAACCTTGTTAACTTGCTGTCTCTAAGATGTCACGAGGCGTTCCATTAGTCTTTGCATGAGAATCTCCAAGTAACAAAAATAATTATTCAACTAAATGGTATATGTCCCGAGTGTTCAACTAATGGTATAAATCAATTTTATTATTAGTAAGTACTAACCTAAATGGTATATGTCCCGAGTGTTCAACTAATGTATTTATGCATCTACCAAGTGTTAGCAAACTCTTGTTGATCTCACCTGCTTCTCTCGCTCTTCCCTAAAAGGTGCAAAAGAAGCAAGCCTTAAATAAATATATGAATGAATGGAATTATTAATGAAAAGTGATTGAGGAGCAAGGTCGAATTCAAAACCTCTCTTGCCCCAGAACGCGAGACATTTTCAGAGCCAGCAAGGTCTACTAAATTAAGCTTGCCACATTTGATCAACTCCTCTCCTTCTGGAGTAGACTCCTTGATATGAATGGTAATTGTGAATACGGAATGAGAACGACTGCTTTGTTTGTTGAGAAGAGTTTCGGCTGTTCTCCTCTTACCCAAACCTTTCTCCAATATTTTGTATATTTCATTTGCAGAGGTCACAATCTCCTCCTCTAATCCCCTGATTACAACTCCACCTTTACCGTCCTCCATAAGTGCTAATTTGGATCTCGAAAATTCTTCAGGTGCCAAAAGGTCGGTTATGTCCTCGTTGTACAACTCTAGGAAAGAGACCTTCATGTTGTACTCGCTCGTCTGACCCTCCAAGATATCGAATATTTGCCTCACAGCCCTTGGGATCACACCTGCATCACTCGGGAATTCACCGTTCTAAACACAAAAAATGAGTCGAGTTAAACACAAGTGTAGAATGGCATTAGCTATACAATTTTGAGTATCACAACCTTTTTTCTTGCTCCACCCTCCATTGTGTAGGTCTTTCCGGTTCCGGTCTGACCATACGCAAAGATAGTGCAATTGTAGCCTTCAATAACTTCAAATACTAAGGGGCACACAGCCTCATCGTATAAATCCTTTTGTTGGGATGATAAGCCAAAAACCTAAAACACGTATATACCGTAAGGAGTTAAAAAAATATTATCAAACACACATTTTTTTTTTATTTGAATTTATGTTAAATATTGTGAGCTTATTCAGCAAGTTTGTTGGAATGAGCAACCACAAGCCTCCAAAAGAAGAAAACAAGTCTGAATAGCTAGCATGACTGAAACTATACATGTAACATAATTAGTTTTCACGTTGTTATCAATTGAAACATCATTTTCATGTAAAAAAATTACATTAGACCTTGTCAAATGTAAAAGTCCTATCCATCTGCTTATTAGCAATATTCTGAATTGCACAAACTTCTCTTCTGCTTTCATTGCAAGAAATCACCACAGGTGTACGCAATTTTGTCTCATCCTCAGTCAATGGCCTAAAATAAACCCAAAAAAAACACAAAACAAAGTTCAAAGCAACATACCTAATAGTAAAGATAGAATTCAAATTCCATGAATTAGTTTTACCTGCATCGCACAACAACCTGCACGTTCACACCTTTATCCTTATCCTTATCGTGCTTTCCGCTAAAACTTCCCTCGCTCGACCGCAAATCTCTTGCCGTCTTATTGCTCGACCTCGGAGTTTGTGGTTTAGACATCATTCCACCAACTCCTCCTCTTCTAAGGGAACCCTCCATTTTTCTTTCTTTTTTTTTCAGCAATCACAAGTTTACTCTATCTCAAAGCCTTCATGCACGAGATATTCGTTTTGTTTTCATTTGTTTT